GGACCTTTTATCCTCACTATTGTACAAACTCAGGGGCTTTGAGGACAGCCATTCATGTGAGTTCTCTGAGAGTTACATAAAGGCCTGCTGCTGAGCACCCTTAATTCCCACCGCACAGGATTGGCCCAGCTCCTCGTCCCAACCTCTGCTTAGTGCCTCACTGTCACCCTGCATGTAGTGCTGATTCTGATGTGACGAAGGTCAGAATCTAAGGGCATGTCCTGCAGCTGTCTCCTCCTTGCAGTCTTTGCATTTGTCAGACATGCCGGGTGAGGCTGACTTTGGCCGCACAGTTCTGCTCCCGGTTCTTCCTAGTAGTTCTCGGCCCTGGGCAGGCGCAGGAATGCTGGGTATGCGGGTGGCTGCACTACCCTGTGCTGCTCTGGGAGCAGCTATGCCAACAGCCTCGCTGTGTGGGAATCAGCACACGCCCACGAGTGCCTTGCAGCCGGCAGGTTTGTTTGCTTCCCCGCCGAGACAGTGACGCAGAAGGGCAGCAGAGGCAGCAGGAGGAGCTGAATGTAGAGAATGTAACTTTGTGTCAGTTCTAACTTGCTATTTAAATCTGCCTCCTGGAGAACAATGTAAACTCCATGGCGGGCGGGTGGCTGTCGAGAGCACTGCACTGCTTTCCATGGGCACGTGCCCATCCTGCACTGCAACAACCCACAGCTAGAGCCACCAACAGAATTAAATCTGTCTTCAGACTGCAATTGTAATCAGGGGTCAGCAGCCCACGAGGCCTCTCGGTGCAGCCCGGCGACAGGTTTCCTAGATGCCCAGGGGATGACTTAGCTCCTAACTGCTTCTGTTCATATTTTCATACACTATGAAATACCAAACTGTGCTCTCGATTACCCACTCAGAAACTCGGAGCCACTCCACTGAAGTTGGTGGGTTGCCTCTGGTTTCTAAGGTTGTTGCTGGGAGCCGGCTGTTTTCCTGTGTTCGTATTGCTAACTCAGCATGCCCGGGCTGGTGCTCAGAGAGACCCTAGAGTCCTGCCTAGCTCTGGCGATTAGCTCTGTCCTGCCAGTCCATGTGGCTGAAACACCGTTTCTGAAAGGGTTGTGACTGATGGCCAGCTGTTATGGAAACAGAGGAATGATCTCCAAGGTATTTCAGGCAGAGGGGCAGATTGCAAAACACCCTCCTCCCTTCCAGTGGGTTGGCGGCTGTTTTCTACTCAGGCAGATCTAGCTCTTTGCTGATGACCCTCCAATCTCTCTATATGCTGCAGCCCATATGCAACTGTCTTGTAACGACTGGTGCACTTTGCTGTACACTCACACTGCTGCCGTGCCTTTGGCAACAATAATGAATTTGGATACAACCAAGGCACTAAGCATCCTTGAAACACATTGTGCAGCTGGACTGTGTATCTCTGTGCAGCCACATACCTGTACGACTGACAACACAGCTGCACTGCTCCACCCCTCCCAGGGAAAATCCAGACAGACCCTCTGGTTCAGCAAAACTGAACAAAAACATGAGACAGAAATTCAGCTTATCCCAGCACAGGGATAATCTCTGACCATTCTCCTCCCTTGCGGGGTGAGATTAGCTGCTGGGCAAAAGGGCAAGGGCTGGGGACTTGGAACTGAGAGGAGCCCAAGGAACTATGAGGAAACTGGTCTCAGCCCTGTATTTCTCAGGAAATTTGCACTGGGTTCCTTTGCTTCCATCAGCTGTCCTGAGTCCCTCCCTGCGCTGGCATGTCAGCTTCACTGGCTGAGTAGCCTTTTGTCCCTGGTTTGCTGATTACCACAATTAGCAATTGACATGCACTGTTATCCCATTTGCACACACAGTCACAGTGATTACACACAGTACTCCACACCTAACTAGAAAAAATGCCCAAGGCCCAGGAGATTTCAGGAGCATAAGAACAGGCTCTGAAGTCAATCGAATGTGTTGAGTATGTAGTGCTCGTTCCTTCTGCTGATGTCCCTGTGATTTACCTGTCACCTTCCTAGGTCGTGTGGTGAACATCAGCAGCATGATGGGTCGGATGGGCAGCCCTGCTCGATCATCATACTGCATCACTAAGTTTGGGGTGGAAGCCTTCTCCGATTGCCTGCGGTACGAGATGCACCCCCAAGGAGTGAAGATCTGTGTGGTGGAACCTGGGAACTTCATAGGGGCCACCAACCTGTACACCCCTGAGCGAATTAAAGCCATAGCAGAGAAAATGTGGAAGGAGCTTCCAGAGACTGTGCGCAAAGACTACGGCAGGAAGTACTTGGATGAGCAAATCACCAAGATGGAGAGTTACTGCAACAGTGGCTCACCAGACACCTCGCCAGTCATCAACAGTATCACCCATGCACTGACGTCGTCCTCCCCCTACACCCGCTACCACCCCATGGATTACTACTGGTGGCTGCGCGTGCAGATCATGACGCACTTGCCTGCTGCTATTTCGGATCGGATCTACATTTACTGAGGCATCTCGTCGCTAGGCTGCCAAGGTGGGAGGTTAATTTCAAAGGGCATGTTGTACAAATTTCCCGTTAGTCACTTTTGTATTTTTTTTAGCTGATTTCAAGGTACCATAATTTAGATCTAAAAGGTTAATTTAAACATTTGAATGTAATTTAAAAGGCAGTAATTGTTGCATGGGACCTTTCGTAGGCAGGAATGTGTTTATGTATATTGTAGGGACTCAGCTCTGTACTATTTATTTCAAATATTCCTTCTTTTTTCCAAAATCAGATGCCAAGTTACGCTCCTCATTGAATTTACAATTGCTCTGAAGGGATTTTCAGTCTAGTTTCCGCTGACCGAGTTACACCAGCTTTGACCATTCCTGACTCGGAGGCAGCCTTCACACCACAGACCGCAGGCCCTCCTGTCGCAATAGCATATTGCTGCAGATTGATGGCTAAGGGCTGCAAAGATTGTTACGGGGACTGGTCATAATAGCACAAGATCCTGCTGGTTTCTTTAATTCAGGGATCCCATCTTACAGCACTCTAAGCACTGAAATTAGCAGCTGATCCTGTCCTTTAATCATTACATTTATGAAGATGGAAACTGTGTCAAAGGGAGCTGTTCAGTCTTTCTCTCCCATACACTTCCTTTCCAAGGAGTTGGATAGATCATGTGCCCAACCCTGAAGCCCTTATTCTCAGCTGTTCTTTCCTCACATGAGTATTCCATTGAGGCCAATGAGTGTGAGAAGCATTGCACAGGCGAGTAAGGCTGCAGGATCAGCCCATGTTAATATTTCTCATTTCTTCAGCAGTAGCTGAACGCTGTGACTTCAAAGTAAAAAGCTTTGAAGTATGTTTAATTGCACTAGTGTTGACGTAATGTAGTGCAGTAGCAGCACTGACCCATTTCCATATGAGAACCAGTTTTCCTGTATTTTGCCAGGATCATTCAGAACCAACCGTTACATTCACCTTGACGATGAATGTCATTTTTTCACTTGGGACCTCAGAGTTACATCACCTTCTTAGCGCGGATTGAACAGTGCCTTGCACAATGGGGCTCTGATCTGATTGGGTCTTCTAGGCCTACTGCAGTACAAACCGTACATAATAAGAGTAATAATTTACACGGAAGGAGTCATGGAGCTGAAACATTTGTCTAGCTAATGTAGTTTGGATATGATCTTCAGTAGAAAATCAATTTAAAAAAGGAATAAACTTTAAGGGCAGTTTAATATCCATGATGGTTATTATGTTTACATGACTGAGAAATAAGGCTACGATTTTGTCATAAAGGTCATAGTGATCACAGAAATTGTGAATTTGAATAAAGTCCATGAAATACTGGAAATGGCTGTAAAAACACATTTGACTAGGCCTCCAACCTGAGTGACGTTGCAACCTAATCCATGGTGTGACACTCAGGTTTGGCCCATTGATCCCTCTCAAAAAGTGCAAAAGGGCCAAACCTGAATGGCACTGAGACCTCTTGTGCCAGGTCACAAGGCTAGGAGTAGGGAGCCAAGCCTTGCCGCACAGGACAGGAGCCACTGCCGTGAGGTGAGTGTGGGGTGGGCTCAATCTCCCACCCCTCCTCTTCTGTGACTTATACATTTTCCCCCACACCTCTGCCATGAAATTTACTAAAAGAATTGCCAACATCGCAGCCTTACTTAGAAACATTATTTTGTACTGTAAAAAAAAACCAGAAAAATACATCCATAAAAATCAACACCAGCAACAAAAAAGTCTTTCTCAGAGGAGTGCTGAGTGTTACATTTTTCAAGCGTGGGAGGTGAGCAAAAATGTAACTGCGAGTTAATTTTCTTAGAGAAAATGGAGAGAGAGGATTTGTTGCACTGTTGTAAGTACTGTAGCAAGTAGAAAGAGGAAATGATCAAAATATCCTTTGGCTTGATTAACATTAAAACTAATGGTGATAAAGTCCACAGGCTCCAGCTTTTTGTTTTTTGATATTTAAGGTGAGAGGCTTACATCTGGACTTGGCCCAACATTAACACCTGAGTTCTGCAGGTTTGGTACCAGAGGACATGTGCACGCACACACTTTACACAGCTGTTGAATTGTAATAGGTTTCTGTGGTCTTCTAAATTCCAAGTTGGGCTGTTTAAGACTCTGACTATAAGTAATTAAATCAGTCTAGTCTATCTCATGACAAATACCGGACTCACACATAGTGACTACTTAGACCCAGACATCTAGGTCTTATTCTGTGTAAAATGCCCATTGACTTCAATGAGAGCTGTACACATTAAAAAGCTATAGGGTTGAGCCCTGTTGAGCCTAACCAGGGACACCAAAAATGTTGCATTAATTTGATGGAATAAGTGGGCCCAGAGTGTCAAAGATGTTAACAGGACCCTGAAACTGTCCAACATTAAACAGGTTTCAGTAAGGTTCGGGGTTTGGCATCCAGCGACCTCAGCCTGATTGGTACCATGGCAAACATGCCTTTTAACAACTTTTAACCTTTTATTAAAGCTATAGAAAATAGAAGGAAAAGCAGTTGAAATGTAAAGTATTAAATAAGGCCTTTATTTTAACCATATTTACTTTCCCTGTAGCTGCAGGGAGTTTTATAAGGAAAGACACCTTGCCCGACGCTCTTTCAGATAGCATAACAGTCGATGTGCTCATCGAAAGAAGTTAGTTGAGATGGGGTGGAGCTCTTGTTGCTGAAGTCCGATCCCATTTCCTAAAAGACAAAACAATGCACAGGCACAAAGGAGAGAGAAAGGACAACAAAGATAGGAAATGCAGCTTCTGTCTCTGGTCTCGACTCTCGTTTGCATCGTCACTGCTGGAGAAACAGCCACAGCACATAGTATAAGAGTCACTCTGAGACCTGGTAAACTTGTATCGGGAGCCGATTGTTTATGGCATTTCTTTTAACTCCCTCTCTGGTCAGAGGCTTATAGCAACATTACAAAATATACAGTCTTGTCTGGCAAAGCCAGACTCCTATTAAACAGAAGCCAAAAGGAGAGAGAGAGAGAGAGAAAAAAAAGAACTTGGGGGTGGGGGGGATTTGAAGGAAATGACACATGCCAGGTGCTGGCTGGGATTTAGCTGAGCTGGTGGAGATTGTGATGTCATCTGGGTCCCTTTCTCTGACTTGGTCAGGTCAGGACATCTCCCAGAATCAGGCCCAGTGCTCTTCAAAATGGCACCCTCTGTGGGCACTGTATGCATGAGGGCATGCCAGCAGGGGCAGGGTCACGCCGGAGGGGTAGGCCTACTCCATCCTTGGAAGTACCGGACTGTCTGGAAGTCTGGGGATGCAGCAGTGGCCACCCTATGTGCATTGGGGGGGAGGAGTAGGACCCCCATGATACACTCATAAGTGTAGAGTTTGGGCAGAAGCCCCCTAGAAAAAGCATCCATGAGAATGCCAGACTAATTCAGTAATTAACTATGTTCAAATCAGTTAAGCATGTTAAATTGAGATCTCTGGCTCACATTTCCCCTAACGAGGATTGTTGATCCTAAACAAGCATTGGCAGTGCTTAAGGGGTCAGCAAGTCAGTATTTTAATGGTGAAGAGGAGCCACTTTTAAAAATAAGTTCAAAGAAGGTGTTGAAAACTCTGGTTGTTGAATTATCCCACATTCAGCTAAGAAAACGTGACACTACATTGTGAACAAAGCGCTCTGTCTCATTTGTAGTGTGTTTGTTTCAATGAGGAAAGGAAGGAGTCTTTCCTAAAGACACAGAGCTATCTACAAAGGTAGGACAGATATGTTCTCAGGGTTCTGATTACAGGGGCTCAGAGCCAGAGAATGCGCTCTCAGATATGAATGGAACACAGCAGAGAAGGTGGCTTGTACAAAAGACAGGTTCAGCAATTCAAAGGGCGCCTACCCCTTAGACTCAATAGTTGTGAGTGCTGGGGTGCCCCACCATGTCCGCATGGAGATCTATAAACTGGACCCAGACCATGGCTCTGTTTGAAACAGTAACTAGCGATGTGTGTGCACTGCTTTGTATTTATTGCTAATGAATTCAAGCTAGCAATTTCTACATCTCTGTCAAGGAGAATGCAAGTGCATGCAGACATGGTCATGTGCATTTTTAGTTACTATTTTACAGTAGGAACATTTATATGCATATTTGCTTGAGACCCTGGGCTCCTGGCAAGCTGCCAATGCAGCACTTGATGTTGCCAAGCTTAGGACCCCTTGGTTTAGTGGGATTCCCAGCCACTGTGTCCCGATTCAGCGCATACAGGAGCATATTACCAATATGATGGGCTTGATCTGGCTATAGACACACAGATTCCAAGGCCAGAAGAACATAAGAATGGCCATACTGGGTCAGACCAAAGGTCCATCCAGCCCAGTATCCTGTCTGCCGACAGTGGCCAATGCCAGGTGCCCCAGAGGGACTGAACATAACAGGTAATGATCAAGTGATCTCTCTCCTGCCATCCATCTCCACCCTCTGACAAACAGAGGCTAGGAACACCATTCCTTACCCATCCTGGCTAATAGCCATTAATGGACTTAACCTCCATGAATTTATCCAGTTCTCTTTTAAACCCTGTTATAGTCCTAGCCTTCACAACCTCCTCAGGCAAGGAGTTCCACAGCTTGACTGTGCCCTGAGTGAAGAAGAAAGAACCATTGTGATCATCTAGTCTGACCTCCTGTACAGCCCAGGCCAGAGAACTGTCCCACAGTCATTACTGGAGCAGAGCTTTTAGAAAAACATCCCGTCTTGATTTCAAAATGGTCAGCGAGGGAGAATCCATCCCTACATCATTGTGATTTGCAGCATGACTTCCTGGCCCAAGCCTTGCTCTGTTTCAGGAAGTGATTGGAGCACAAAGTCTCTCACTCGTCTTACCTGGGGAATGGACTTGGTTGATGCAGTAGGGCCCAGAGGGAGGGCTGTGATGACCAAGCAGAGCTTAGTGGAGGTCTGTGTTTTGGGGTGGGGTTCTCCTGGACTACCCAGGGAATCCTGCCCACTCTCCGTATCTGATGCTTGCCAGTATGCGTTAATCACCACAGCCGGGGCTCAGCCAGTCAGACACTGTGGGTGGGTTCTTTAAAGGGCTGAGCAATTTCCGGGCTGCCAAGAGCACTGGAGCGCTGCAGGCTGAGTTAAAATGTGCAATTGACTCTCATGCTTCAGGGTGCGTGCTGTTTGCCGAGGGGAAGGGAGGGGCAAGAGCCATGTCAGGTAGAACCCCCCTCACCCCCAAAGTACTGGGCAATACCCGTAGTTTGTCAGATGTTTGTTGGGGGCCTGAGGCAGGCTACCTTCCTCTAGAGCATCCGGCATTAACAATGCTAGAGGCACAATTTCTGGACCCAGTGGGCTGGTCTGAATGGCAAATGCGATACCCACCACTGCAAGGCGTCTGTGGTGCAGCTAGCGTCCTTGCTGCGCTCAGTGCTGGCCAGAACACATTGGCCTCATCCGTTCCCCGGCCAGCCGTATGCTGTACACACTCTTGAGGGGGATGGTGGTATCTGTGCTGAGGAAACAGAAGAGGGGAAAAGCTGAAGCTCCCAATTTTGCAGCCGACCCAAAGACTGGGGGAGGCCTGCAGAGGACAGGTCACTAACACAGAGCGATCTGACTCGCTTGATAAGCTGGGTGCAAGTCAACAATATTCCTTTTAATGCAGCTAAATGTCTATGTAGGCCCCTCTATTCGCGGGGCCTCGGAACTTTACTGGGAGTGTTCCAGCTGGGACGCTGCAGTCCACCCTCAGAGGTGACAGTTCCCATGATGCCTTGGGGAAGAGAGAGACTTCTGCGTCCGCGGCGAAGGGATCCTCGTTCTGGATCCAGAGGCAGCGTGCGGCGGGCTCCCTGGTGTGGGGGAGCTGAGAGCCGGGCCAGAGGACTCAGGCAGTTTGTGGCGCTCTGTCCGAGCTGCTGAGAGTCTGCAGGGGCATCGTGCAGGTGGGGAGCCTGCGGCTGGGTGTCAGCAGAGGGGCAGAGACTGTTGCTGAGCCCAGAGCTGACTGAGGCAGGCCTGCAGTGCAGGCAGTGGGAGTAACCACCTCCTGTCTTGGTTGGGAAAGTGCTTACGGGGAAGGGGGACAGGGACAAGACTGTAAGGGCATGCCTGAGTCTAAGAAGAGACGAAGCGGCCTTGTCGTCTAGCCAGGAGCCAGGTTCCTGGCCTCTGGGAAGAACAGCTTCCATCTCCAGAGGGGCTGAGCGGCATAGAAAGATCTCACAGTAGAATCGCCCTGCCCCGTGTTGTCTCAGCCAGACCAATGGAGCGCTGGCCCCAGCTTTAAGGTCTTCACACGCACCCACAACTCTGCAGTCAGAGGATTGCACGCTCAGGAGTGGGGTAAGTGGTGCCAGTGTAAATGGGAGTTGGGTAAGCTCTGTTTACTACTGTAAACTGCATTTATTAAATGATTTATTGACGTGCCCCCTGCTGATTTAAAGTGGTTGTGACATTTTAATGGTCAGTCTTTTGTATCATGAAAAGGAGTACTTGTGGCACCTTAGAGACTAACCAATTTATTTGAGCATAAGCTTTACAGCTTTACATAAGCTGTAGCTCATGAAAGCTTATGCTCAAATAAATTGGTTAGTCTCTAAGGTGCCACAAGTACTCCTTTTCTTTTTGTGAATACAGACTAACACGGCTGTTACTCTGAAACCTGTCTTTTGTATCATGTTTTTCTAGATGGTTAAGTAAAGGGGTGTTTGTAGATTGTTCGTATATTGTTTATAATTGGTACTTTTGGGTTAGACCATTGCATAGCTTAGCTCAGGTATATTCCTGGAGGCTCCCAAGGCAGGCCAGTGAGAGTGTACAGGACCCAGCTAGGTGGAGACACCACCAAGCTTCATTTCCTTTGTAAGTAAAAGGGCTGCAGCAGAGGGGTGGCTAGCAGATCCCCACCTACCCACCATCACCACTGGGAGACTCAGGATCACCTTTACTGTCAACATCAGGCACCCCAGCACACAAGGGAGTGTTGCCTGCCCCAGAGTAACCCAGGAAGGCGGGGGAGGGGTGTGTGGCAACATATCCATCTAGGAACAAAGAATGTAGGCCATCTGTGATCAGGATCCCCAGGGAGCTGCACTGACGTCACTCAATTAGGGTGAATTGCAAAGAATGGGGCAAATAATCCCCAAAGCTGGTGGATATTCCAACACTTAGATTTACCAAACCAGCACAAAACAGCTTCTGTGATATCTCACGGGTCGCCCAGAAGCCAATAACACAATTCCCTTAAAGCAACCCAGCCTTAGGCCTCCACCCAGACACCCAGGTCAAATATGATGAGGATTACTGAAAATCTTATTCACCATATAAAAAAATTCTACCAATCCCAAAGGATCAGACACATTACCTCCCAAATTAATGATCTTACCCAAATACTCGCTTACAGCCAATTCTTATTAACTAAACTAAAATTTGTTAAAAAAAAGAGAGAGTATTGGTTAAAAGATCAGTACACATACAGACACGAGTACAGTTCTGATATCAGATTAATAGTAGAGATGGTAAGCTTTATAATTGCAAAGAGGTCTTTCAGAATTAGTCCATAGGTTATAGTCTAATGTTCATATTCAGGGTGATCCAGATTAGGACTGGAGATCTCAGTCTTGTGACTTAAGCTTCCCCTGCATGAAGCATCAAGCAGATCTGAGATGACAGGATCAGAACCCCAGACATCTTTATACAGTTCCATGTCTTTTTTGACAGCTTGCAATCCTTAGGCGAACAATAGGGAATCCTAGAAACTTTGAAGTTAACCTATTTTCTAAGCATCACCAGTAATTAGCTACATGGATTAATATAAGGCAATTGCCTGTTTTCCACCATTCGTAGGTGATTTGCTGTACATTTCAAAGAGAGATGAATACAGTGATATCACTATGTTTACAGTTCATTTAAATGTTAATAGAAAAGGAGTACCTGTGGCACCTTAGAGACTAACCAATTTATTTGAGCATAAGCTTTCGTGAGCTACAGCTCACTTCATCGGATGCATATTGTGGAAAGTACAGAAGATCTTTTTATACACACAAACCATGAAAAAATGGGTGATTATCACTACAAAAGGTTTTCTCTCCCTCCACCCCACTCTCCTGCTGGTAATAGCTTATGTAAAGTGATCACTCTCCTTACTCACCTTTTGTAGTGATAATCACTCATTTTTTCATGGTTTGTGTGTATAAAAACGTCTTCTGTACTTTCCACAGTATGCATCCGATGAAGTGAGCTGTAGCTCACGAAAGCTTATGCTCAAATAAATTGGTTAGTCTCTAAGGTGCCACAAGTACTCCTTTTCTTTTTGCAAATACAGACTAACACGGCTGTTACTCTGTTAAATGCTAGTGTTTCCTTTTGATCTCTGAATTAACAGAATACAGCACAGACAGGGACTGCTTGATTACATTGTTAACCTCTAACAATATATATGTAAACACACAAAACCACAAACATTATCTACCAATATGTCCCTAAAGGTTGAATCTGGGTCAATTAGCAAGCTGCTTAACCCTTTCTGGCTATGGGTCACACCATCTTATAGGATGGTGGACTCTAACCTGGGAAGCAGTGTTTTGGGGGAGGGGTTAATCAGCTGAACATGAGCTCCAGTGTGATGCTGTAGCCAAGAAGGCTAATGTGATTCTGGGATCCATAAAGAGGGAAATCACATGTAGGAGTAGAGAGGTTATTTTCCCCTCTGTATTTGGCACTGGTGTGTGACCGCAGCTGGAATGGTGTGTCCAGTTCTGGTGCCCAGAATTCAAGAAGGATGTTGATAAATTGGAGAGCGTTCAGAGAATAGCTACAAGAATGATTACAGGGTTAGAAAAGTTTTTAGAGTAACAGCTGTGTTAGTCTGTATTCGCAAAAATAAAAGGAGTACTTAGAGACTAACCAATTTATTTGAGCATAAGCTTTCGTGAGCTACAGCTCACTTCATCGGATGCATACCGTGGAAACTGCAGAAGACATTATATACACAGAGACCATGAAACAATACCTCCTCCCACCCCACTCTCCTGCTGGTAATAGCTTATCTAAAGTGATCACTCTCCTTACAATGTGTATGATAATCAAGTTGGGCCATTTCCAGCACAAATCCAGGTTTTCTCACCCTCCGCCCCCCCACACACAAACTCACTCTCCTGCTGGTAATAGCCCATCCAAAGTGACCACTCTCTTTACAATGTGTATGATAATCAAGGTGGGTCATTTCCAGCACAAATCCAGGTTTTCTCACCCTCCGCCCCCCACACACAAACTCACTCTCCTGCTGGTAATAGCCCATCCAAAGTGACCACTCTCCTTACAATGTGTATGAAAAACAAGGTGGGCCATTTCCAGCACAAATTGCAGGTTTCTCGGGGGGGCGGTCCAGGGTCCCCCCCCCCCAAAAAAAAAACACACACACACACACACACAAACTCACTCTCCTGCTGGTAATAGCTTATCCAAAGTGACCACTCTCCCTACAATGTGCATGATAATCAAGGTGGGCCATTTCCAGCACAAATCCAAAACCTGCCTTAGAGTGACAGAGTCAAAGAGCTCAGTCTATTTAGCTTAACAAAGAGAAGGTTAAGGGGTGACTTGGTGACAGTCTGTAAGTATCTACAGAGGGTACAAATATTTAATAATGGGCTCTTCAGTCCAGCAGAGGAAGGTCTAACAGGATCCAATGGCTGGAAGTTGAAGCCAGACAAATTCAGACTGGAAATAATGCGTACATTTTTAAAAGTGAGGGCAATTAACCACTGGAACAATTTACCAAGCGGTGTGCTGGATTCTCTATCACTGACAAGTTTTAAATCAAGGTTGGATGTTTTTCAGAAAGCTCTGCTCTAGGGATTATTGTGGGGCAGTTCTCTGGTCTGTGCTGTACAGGAGGTCAGACTAGATTATCACACTGGTCCCTCCTGGCCTTGGAATCTATTAATCTGTTATTGATGATTTTTAGGAAGGTGCCCAGCCCCATTGTGCTGGCTAGTGCGTACATACAGACACACACACCAAGAGACAGTTCTTGCCCCAAAGAGATTACAGTCATAGTAGAAAAGACAGAAAAAGAGAGGAAACTGAGACACAGAGAGGGGCAGTGACCTAACCAAAGTCACACAGCAGTTCATTGACAGATATTTTAAAATCTAGTTCTCTTAATCTAAGTATTTGACCTCAAAATATCCATAGACCCCAGAACAGGTAATTCTGTTCAGCAGGCCAGACACCAAGCTGCACCAGGCACAGGTGACATCTGGTTTAATACAGAATGATTAAAGTTAGACATGGCACGGATCAGTGAGGTTGCTGAGCCTGCCTCTCTACAAGTGCAGCATGCAGATCCCGAAGAGATGATGCGTCAGACATGAAGCAGTGCCACTCTTGTTCTTAGCCAGACAGGAAACCCAAATAACGATACTGCACTTGACATCTACAAAACATCCTTTATCACAAAGAATTCTAAAGTACTTTGCAGGCTACCCACACAGAGATCACTATAGCAATGCCACCCACCACTGAAATGCAGACACTTCCTTCTGCAGAAGAAATGTGACAATGTGCACAGCAGTGTAGTGCAAAGAGAAGTCCAGGAGGCAGAATCTAATTAGCTGAGTTGGAATTTGGCCAGTACACTGGGGTTAACACCCCTGCTCTTGTGAAAAGTGGTATGCAGTCTTTTACCTTTCAGAGTAGCAGCCGTGTTAGTCTGTATCCGTAAAAAGGAAAGGAGTACTAGTGGCACCTTAGAGACTAACAGATTTATTAGAGCATAAGCTTTCGTGAGCTACGGCATCCGATGAAGTGAGCTGTAGCTCACGAAAGCTTATGCTCTAATAAATTTGTTAGTCTCTAAGGTGCCACAAGTACTCCTAGTCTTTTACCTTGAGGTCGATACCTAGTGTCTGGATAGGTGATTCTTGGAAACTGGAAGTGGTCACCAGCTAGGAGATGGGTCTGGCGGCTACACGGGCAGCGGGAGGGTTCTGACAGCTGCAAAGCAAATCTGTGGACTAGTTAGGTAGCTGCAAGGCAGCTGGAGTTCTGAGGAGTGAGTTTGCAGATGAATACGTTCAACCACTGTGTTCTGTCACTTAATGACCATCTGGCCAGATGATCCTCTGCATAGGTCCTGTCTGAAAAATGCTAGCACATCACATCTCCCCCTAGTACGAAGTTAAGACATTCAACGCTGATGTAACAATCAACCATTGCTATATACTGCAACATCTGGGCTTTCCACTTATTAGCTATAGCTTCTTTTGCACTTCGAAGTTGATTTTATCAGCCAGTTTGTGGAATAAATAGCTATAGTAAATGGAGAAGGGAAATTTAGCCAATCCAGCCTCTACGTGAAGGGCAGTTGGCACAAAAATACTTAAGAGTGATCTGGGGCCGACTGCAGCATGCAGTTTTGCAGGGAAATTAGGTCCCTTTGATTATTGTTTGACAGAAATGTAGGCAGCTGCCTTCACTTGTCTTATCAAATTAAAAGGGAAAATAATTACTCACTGCTTAAATTATGGAACACAGACTGTGCGAGCGCTGAAGGCTGTCATGGATCTCTCTGTTCTAGGTGCAGTACTGCATGGCTCAGTGTGCTTCAGCTCCCAGGGAAAAAAGATGATTGTCACCAAGGCTTTCTATGTAAAGACCATTTCAGTCTATATATAGTTTTTCCTGATGGAGTGGAAGGCAGCAAAGATGAGGTATTTTTAACCACAGCTGTTACATTTTGTTTCAGGTCTTAATCAGGGAAAACATGAGGTTTCACCGTCTTTCAGGACCTGTTGTCTGTCTTTGTCTTTTCGGGTGATGAATGTAATGTTTTGTTTTGAAATGTTTTGAAACAAGGTTCTGTCTGCTTATTAACGTGTCATCTGGATCTAATGGTGGGTTTTCTGCACTGTCTGGACAGAGTTATTCTGTAGCCATTAAATTAGATCACACTGGAGCTGAACCTTAGCCAGCACTTCCACATCGGACAATTCCAGGATGAAACTCCCAATTCTAGTCAAGCTGTGCTAGTTGAGGGACCCGGCCCAGCTAGCTCTCCCGGCCTGTTGAAGTGAGCATCTGAGAAAGTAAGTTGAGCACTGATGCGCTTACCCTGAGTGATGTGCCTGAGGTGTGAGGCGGGAGGATGGGACCACAGGGTCCGCTCAGCAGGGAAGCATGGAGCAGCTGTGGGAATGTGAATATCACATAAATTCCCCACATTCTGCGTAGCTATGCTGTTGTCTGCAGCCCTGGCCCTCTCTGTACATGGGCAGGGCACACTCCATGCCCCCCTTGGCTGCTCTCCCATGGGCCTGATGTCCATCTGCATGTGCAGTCAGGTAAGAGAGAGGGAGAAAGGTTCTTCGCTAAAAGGGCAGGAGCAGATTATTGTCCAGGAGATGGGCACTTACATGAGCCTCACCCCACAGCACCTGCAAGAGGGGTCAGGCATGGAAGGTAGACCTGCTAGCCTTCCCCCACTCCACCCTTCCAGCCACAGCTAGTCATTGAGGCAAGGAAGCAGGGGGCTGCCCGTAGCAGGGGCATTCACATCCTGGTGAGAGAAGGCACTTTCCTGGGGAAAGGAAGGCTCAGGGATTGTCTACACTTACAGTGCTGCACCAGTACAGCTGTGCCACTCTCGCGCTTAGTGACGATGCTACCTATGCTGACAGGAGAGCTTCTCCTGTCAGCACCGTTAATCCACCTCCCCGAGAGGAGGTAGCTATGCCAACAGCAGAAGCCCTCCCCGTCACATAGTGCTGTCTGCACCAGGGGTTAGATGGGTAAAGCTGTGTCGCTAAGGGGTGTGGATTTCCACGATGTAGTTATACCAACAGAAGTTGGTAGTGTCAACCATGCTTCAGGCTATGTGAGTGGGAGAGATGGACCAGTGACAGTCCCTTCAGCACAGGAACAAATGTAACCCAGGTAGTAATGCCTGGCGACTCTGAATCCCAATGATGGGAAGTAACCCATGTTGTTAAGATCATCATCTGTGAAGTAGCTAACTGATACAGCTGTATCAAAGGATCAACTTTGTCTGGTGTTAGGTACAAATGACCTTGTACTGAATGCAGGGTAGTGCAATATGGTTACCAATTTTGTAATTATTGTAGGAATACAGGAAAGCAGGACTGTGCTTAACCTGTCCCAAAAGAGGGGGGCCACCCTCAGTTGAAAGAACCTTGTTAAGCAGGGGCTCGAATGTCAGAGCCCTGTGAAAGTAAGAGGGGTGGGGACAAGTATCCCTAGCCAGGAGACTGCACATTCTCAAGGGTCCTCCATAGACTTGTTTAACCTGTTCCTCCCCACTGTTCAAAGAATAGAGCTAAATAGGCTTCATTAGGAGCCTTTTTGTTATGTTAAATGCTCAATCAGAGCTGAACTCAGTTGTGGTAGAACTGTGTTTCTGCCCTACCTGCTAAGAGCTAAAAATCAGTGACAGCTGAAATCACTTGGGATGGGGCAGTGTTTTTGCCCAGCCTGTAAAGAGCTGAAAATGACTAAGAGACGGCTGTGCAGAGGTCACAGCAGAGAGGCAGATGGCAGCAGAAGGCAAATGACAGTCAGCTGGTGAACGAGTGGCTGGTGTGGCAGAGAGGCATGATGAGCGGCCAGCAGGGTGGCTGGTGGAGAGGCGCGGAGAGAGTGGTGAGCTGGTGGCCAGCAGGAGCAGCCAGTGAGCAGCCAGCAGAGTGGCTGGCGGAGAGGGGCGGCAAGCAAGTGCCCAAGCAGCAGAGCAAGTAAGATACCTCTTTACCCCTCCCGGGGGAGGTGAACGCTGCAGACGCACCTTTGAACTCTGGGTCTGCACTGACCAAGGACAGCGACTGTGAGTGGGGTGCAGAGAAGGGTTGGGCATGTGAAAGGGGCTTTTGGGTTGCTGGACTTAAGAACCGGAGGGGAAAAGGACACTGCTCAACCTACTTGAGGGTGGGTGTTTTACTCACAGTTTATTAATTATGAACCCTGTTTGTGGTGTTTTCCCAAATTAACTCCGAGTTACTTCCCTCCTTTTATTAAAAGTTTCTTTTCTACACTCAGGCTCTTTGCTTGCAAGTGGGGAAATATTGCCTCTCAGAGGCACCCAGGCATGGTGTGTAAATTTCCCAGGTTACGGGTGGGGGCTCGAGCCAGTTCTGTGTTGGATCAATGGAAAGGAACCCCTAGATATTGAACCTGGCCCTGGTTGCTGCTGGCTCCACCTGGCAGAAGGGTTACACCATAATATAAATGATTGGTGTCAAAATATACAAACACAGTGATCATGGGGGCCTGCTGCTCTGCAGTTCTACCAAAGCCAGGGGAGGGCATGCTGCAAACTGTATATTCAGCTGTAGGCAAATCATGGGTTGTGACCTCTAAACAGGATGCAGGGAGGGGCGGTTTCTGGCTAGCTTTCCAGGAGGGAAAAGATTGTGACCTACAGGTACAGTGTACAGAGGGCCTGTAGCTCCCCACAATTCAGCTCACTCGCAGGAAAACTCCATGTGCTTCTCTTTTGTTTTTTCTCTACAATTACAAGTTCCCCACCCTATGCTGCAGGGGCTTAGTGGATTGCCACACACCCCTGGGAAGCTGCAAAGGTGTATTTAAAGCAAAAGCTGTCCTGATAGTTGAACCTTTGGCTTTGTGCTAGCAAAGTATTTAATGGAATTTGGCACTTGTGCTGATTACTGAGCATTTAATTAAAAAACTGCTATTTCAAACTCAGTAAGGAGCTGACAGGCTTGTGGGTGGAGTCTTTCCCCCTCTCACATTAATGAATACAGGAAAAGAGAATGACGCACTGCAAGGCAGGGGTATTTTCATTCTCTGCACAAAACCTTTGTTGGTACCCCCACCCCCAGCCCCAGAGATGCGGCCATTGTCTGATCCTCTCTGGGCTGTAGGGCAGCAGCTGAGACAAGCAAAATGCATGGCTAACTATGATATAATAAAAAATAGAGAGGAAAAATGTATTTGGTCATTTTGTCTATGTGACCTTCTCTGCCTATGCAGGGCTCTTTCCTACCGTCTTCCTGGCTCAGACGTGCCTGTCCTGAAACACCTGCGAGATGTTTCCTCAGGAAGCCCAAAGTCCCTCCAGGTGATCTGAAAAGAGGATTCCACGAGACTGGGTAACATAAAAATGTCACATACCATAAGTAGGCCAGAAACTCTGTAATTCCCTTTCTGGCCTCTCATTCAAGCCATCTGTCATCAAGATACTAGTTTGCAAAAGAAAGCAGTGGCAAGAGTAGCGTTCTGTGGCACATGGCACACATCTCACTGAAGGGAAAGCACACGCTGCCGCAGTCCCTACATGTACCTTCCTGTTGACTGTGGTGTACCATTAAGCGAATCTGAGGTTGAAACCAGAGTTGAACAGCAGGTATGTGTGCTGCAACTCTTCTGACACTCTCTGAAAGCCTGGCCTTTGGGCTCCCTCCTCCCCTGTGGCATTCACAATCTGTTAGCTGACAACTGTGCTCATTTTGGTCACCGCCAAGCCATGGTAGTTCCCAAACTGATGCCCAGTTATTCTTCTGATATGAATCTGGCTCTTCTATGCTGAATGTTGGCCTGGAACCCTTCTGAGGCCTGGTCTGAGGACTGTGGCCCAGTTTCCTTTTCAACTGTGTGACACATAGATGCTGCCTGCTGATGAGATGTTTTCTTTTTGTGTCCTCCTCTTCCAGGGATTGGCAAAGATCTACATGAGGGTCTTTGTTGCAGGTACTTGGATAAGCTAATATGTTGCTTTGAACACCTGTACATCCAGCTACCACCAGAAAAGGGTGAAGATACCCAGATAATTTCTGATTCTAACACTGGGAAAATTATGAAATTCCACCCCAAGACAAGTGAGGGGATGAGGCCAACACCTGAGGGGATGCACACAGACTAGAGAAGGGACAGAAGTGCAAGCGGTCCCATTGCTATGACACAACCTAATGTATGAGACAACTCAGTGTCCTGAATCAAACTTAAGTGAAGCAATTTACAGGTAGCAGAAGAAGAATGAGTTATGTGGTGGGCTAAGAACACTTCTCTCTACAACTCCCACATCTGAACTACAAGGTACGCATACCGGGATATCCCAGTAAATCTCATAGAGCATTGTTTAGTAAGGGTCACATCCCTCAACACCTTGCTTTCCAGAACCATGTGTCAGTGAGTAAAAGGTGTCCGAGTCCCTGCCCCTCCTTCCCACCTTTGCCAAAACCTCACATCCACATGGAACCTTTCTGGAGACTTGGAAGTATGTGGTGAACTTTGTTTTTCTTTCTTTTAATCATTATTTTTCACTTTCACTCAGCTCTGCTCTGCTCCGCTCCTCGGGGCTCCACCATAGAAATACTGGGGTACCCAGGAAAGATCATTCTGTTGGTATTCCAGACTTCTCAGAAGCAGGAAGTAACAGAAATTTCATAAGAAAATTTGTTACCAGGAAAGTTTCTTGTAAATTTCAGCCCCACAAAGTTAGAATAATTTGGATAAGGGTCGGCTTTCGGAAGCTGATCAGCATCAAAGTCAGACTCTGTATCTTTTGACATTCACCTGTCATTGGGGTGGAAGATAGTAGGATTCTGTCAGAGCTGAGCTGCAGATAACCTGCTAGTTTCTCAAAAGC